GAACCCCTTATCTCATTTTTGATGGTTGACATCTCATTTGAACAGTGAAAGCCAGAATATTGTAAAATGCTTACCAATGATGTATTAATAATAGGATATATATAGCGCCTTTCATGAGACCCAAGGTCCCTTTAAAAAGAAGAACAGGAGTAGAAACAAAAGGCAGTCAGACCAAACAACAAATAGATTTGGGGCCAAAGGCCTTGGCAGACAGATGGGACTTGAGGGCCCTTTTGAAGGCATCAAGCGTGGGGATGTTGCAGATCTCCGCAGGGAGAGCGTTCCAGAGAGTGGGGGCTGCCATACTGAAGGCTCTGTCCCCGAAGGATCGCAGGTTGGTGCGGGGGGCCAGAGTCTGAAGACCGCAGGTTCCGGCGTAGAGCATGTGGGAATTGTATTGATTGAGCCAGTGTTTCATCGTGTACTTTCAACTGCAGTATATGGTCAGGCAAGTTCAGCATTCACTGTGATGTATATAAAATATGACACTGATACCGTTTTCCTCAATGAACATTTATTGAACAGAACATCAAATGGAAAATCAGAGCTGGTCAACTTAAAAAAATATTGAATAAATAATAAACTCCTCGGAATCTTTCACAAGTCCTTCAGCCTTTGGTGCGCTTCCTCACTCATGTTCTTGGTGAGGTCATGAGAACAAAGTTCCATCTTACTGATAAGACAAGATGGTATAAAGAAGTCATATGTAATATTATAAAATCACATGCATCAGGGGTTGTACACTTTAATGTGTCCATTCACTAACCGACTCTTTAGGAAGGAAGCTGTAAGGCCTCTTGTTATAGGAGTGGTCCTCATCAGTGTCCAGGGGCATCTGTAGACAGTCAACCATTATTTTGACAGTGCTTTACATGCACGGTTTAACTCCTCCAAAAATGATCCAGGCTCGATTCAGAATGACACAGTACCACACAAAACAAATGTTGCATGTACCATAAGTTCTATGTAGTATGTGTTTTAGGAGTAGTAACCCATTCTGAAACAGGCACACAGGGTCATAGATACGTTGAGCGATACACTGACCATGGTGCTGCTTGCATGCGTCCTTTTACGACTGATCCTGAATGTACGTGGGACATTGTCGCTAAGGGTCGCCCTGCCTTCCTCACTATAGTGAGCAAACCTCTTTCCATACCTGCAATTAAGACACATTTTCTTCACCAGAAGGTTGAATTTTAGAGCCAGGTGTTCCCCCCAAATCTTCTTGATAATACAATTACAAATTCAAATGTTTTTGTAGCACTGCAGCATACCCTTCCAGTCCAAAGTTTTCCACCAGGATAACACACCACCACCTTCTCAGGAGAGACATGTCATGCTAAAGAAAGAGCATCAATTTTCATTAAGTTTGTTATAGCATTTTAATGTGACTTCTTCCTTAATACTTACAATGCTGAAGTCAAAGCTGGCCTCCATGGCAAAATACCAGGCATACTGTAATGAGAATTTTATTAGCACATGCAAGACATAATGTACACGTGACGGCTGGGTGTGACCCGGTCCTTTCACAAAATGGACACTGGAAGGTGTCCGAGTCCAATTTGTTGAGCTCTGGGCGTGCTCCATCACGGAGTGTTGTGTTGTTTGTCTATAGGTGAATAAAATAGAATACAATTTAAGTGACTTTAATATTGGAAATAGTTAACTCCTTAAACAAGCAGCAATGGACTGGCCTGTATAATCCTATGGGACAAAGCTGGTCATACTTCCTCACTTTCAGAAGGTAACCCTTTAATGCACAAAACAACCTCTAGATTTCACTGTGGTTCGAACAGAAAGCCCTTCAGCTAGTTTAAATGTCAGGCCTACAGCATAAACCCCATCTAAAAACAGAGGCTCTGTCCTAATTACCTGATTGAATCCACCTGGGTTACTTGGCTCTACCCAATAACTACCATTTAACTTTAAACCACACTTAAAATAATAATTATACATATTTACATGTCTACAGTATAGGAGCTAATACATGTTTTAAATAAAAAACATTCAAATGTGAAAGACACCTTCAATTAATATTTAAAACTTACATAAAATCAGATTCTTGTAAAAATTAGAGTATGCATGTTCAGTTAGTATATATGCTAAGTTAACTGAACGTCGAGCATGTCAAGCTAAGATATATATATATATATAGCAAAATAAACACAATTACACTGCGCTAAACAGCCACATCGACAAACAAACGAGAACCTAAATAGTATGTAATTATATCTAAAACCACAATACGTTAAGTACCTGTACTCGGTGCGCCATGTTGTTTGTTGTCTGTAAACCTCACGTGTTGGGCGTGCTCTCTTCTGACCATATTTGGAAGTACAACTTTTCGCGGCCGCAGCTAGACCCTTCTCAGCCACCGTAGTGTCGTGTCAGGTGGGCGTGTCGTGTACCATCGTGTACTGGGCTGCTTCTCAGGTCGATTAAATGAAATCCTTGCTTCCCTCATTCGCGTCGTTTCCCTGCGTTTAGTCCCTCCCACCAGGGAAGCATGGAGGGACGCAAGGAAACCACGAGAAGCAGGGAAATGAGTTTTAAGAGCAATGGGACGTCCTTTCCTCCGGAGCGTCACGTGAAGCGACGTCCGTTTGTGATGACGCTGCACAGCTGATCGTCTGACAGCAGCTCTGTCCCCGTTATTTCCACACACCCCCCGCCTCTGTTAGTACACATTTACTGACACAAACATTTGTATCATCCGTTGTCGACCCCAATAAATAAAAATAAAATAAGAACTAATTCTCAAAAAAGATAAACGCCATTCTTAAAATGTATAAACGAACAATAGTTTGATTAATATTGATTAGAGTGCACAATAGAAATAAAATAATTGAGAGAAGAAAAAGAGATATGTTATCTATCAATACCCAGTTAGATTAACATTCATTGGATTGCACACTTTGTTTGTTTGTTTGGATATGTAGTAAATGAACATTTAAATAGCACTTAATGACTGACTGAATGGAAATGACAATAAATGAAAATGTAAAACGAAAAAAGCGATCATGAAAATGTTTCCAAAAAATGAATTAAATGATTTTTGACCACTTTGTTGTTCAGATATATCACATATTTGTAACTAAATGATACATGAATTGAAACAAAACACGGTATAAACTGAGGAGTGACTCCCGTGAGGTTCATGTATTTTCTTCACTCTGCTCTCATGTCAAGAAGCATCAGATCAGTGCATGCACTGCCTCGTCCAATCAGTGAGCGATACACAGTAAGGGGGCGGGGTGAGTATCTGAGGATTTCATCGGAGGATGGTCTGGTGGTTCCTCGGTTATCGCTCCTCCATGATCGCTCCTCGCTCCTCGATCCTCGGTCCTCCGGCAGAAATAAGAGCCATGGGACGGTACTCAAGATGGCGCAGGCAAATCAACTTCCGGTGAGACCGAGGAGCGAGGAAATGAAAATAGACGACCTGAGAAGCAGCCCTGGCCGCGGCCGCAGCTAGACCCTTCTCAACATATCTGGTACTGACACCGGCACTTATCATGGCTGCCAGTGACGTACTTCCGGGTCATTTCACTTGGTTAGGAAGGTTCCTAAGCTAAATGGACTATTGGACTGGGCCCCCGTAGTTTCCATAGTTTCCCCACAGCAGCAGACGCACATTCATGACGTCCGCTGGCGCATCATAAACACGTCGGATAGTGAAAGTGCATTCGGATTCTCTAAAGTACCGCGGTCTCTTCTCCTAAATCCTATTGAATTCTCCTATCCACTATCCCTTAACCCCGTGACGTTTCACTCAGAGGTCAAGGAATAGGAGATGGGGTTAGAATTTAGGAGCTGGTTTTTGGATTATCGGAACGCAACCGAGGAGTCGAGGAGGGGGATTTGATGAAATGAGAAAGGGCCAATGTCTGACGTGTTTTGGACGTAATCTCGTTTTTGTTTACATTAGCAAGCCTCGCTAACACTAACCTGTACTGTAGAGTAGAGCACATGTGTTTAAAAAGCAGGAAATAAAACTCACCTTGTGATAAACCCGGAAGAGAAAAAGCATTTGAGCTCTGTACTGTTTCAGAAATAATCTTTGATGTGGTTTAGAACAGGATGGCGTTTTATCACAGCAGAATTTAACTTTATCTCCGGTAGAATTCTTATCAGGCATTAGCTCCGCCTCCTCTTTTTTTTTTTTTTTTTTTAAAGCTAAGGACCCAAAATCCGCGTTTCTCTTACAGGGCTTCAAAAGAGGGGTATGAGCAGTATGAGGCATGGCTACAATGGGTTAACTGTTTGGTATTTTAAGCAAAAAACTTCACAGACATGTTTTGTATAGGTATGGCCCTAAACATTTTTCCAATATAGCATAAAAGGTCCACTTTAAGTTATACAATCATTGTCAGACCTATTATTATGATGGCTGCTAATGTTAATAAGGTAACTATTACTTTACACTCCTATGAGAATTAAAACATCCACAGTTGGAAAGTTATTGTCAAAAGGATTTTTTCCCCAAGCTATGAATATGTACTAGAGTCTAGACTATAGCTTAATTTTACTACTCTTTAATGTTGACCAAAGTTATCTGATTTGGAAATATTCTTTGCATAAATATATAATGAAGCACTAAAGTTAGGATGAGAAGCATCTTTCTAACTCCTGCTGTTACCATGTTAAAGCTGCACTAATGGATATTTTGATATTGAAAGTATATTGAATTATTATAGTGTAAAAGGGGTTGTTGTCTTTAGTGAGGAGCCCATGAAGCTAATCTTTTTTTTAACAACTTCATAAGTTAATAATATGTGAATGTGGTATTAACAGCTTTTTCTCTTGAACAATGTCGCCTAAAAGTAAACTATAATGACTTTAACTAAACATTATGGACAGAATAATATGATAATTTGCTTTGTAATGTACACATAATATTTAAGTGGGTATCATTTTAATAATTTTTTACAACATCTATGTCTATCTACATAACATTTCCATATTCTTGTCCGCCTCACACTTCTTTCATTTCTTTCCAGAGAGACGTTTACTGCATGTGTTGGTGCTGTGGGGAGTGCCTTCAGTTTAATGTTGGTTTTAAAGTTTATCCCAACAACTACCAAAGCTCAAGCTACAAGAACCAACAAAGACAGTAAGACACACTTCTGTTTGCTACACTTAATGTTCACAGCTTTTGATAATCTGTATAATGCTGATGATACGTTCAGGTTGATGGAAACAGGTTTTAGGAAGTAGCCTATTGGTGAGCAGGTTTCACTGTCTGACCAAAATCACATTAGTAGTAAAAACCTAACGTTATCGGCTTATAACAAACTACGTCATGGTTGCATGACTTTACATCACCGTCTCTAAGTTGAATTTGCACTACAGTTTGACTAATAAGCAAACTACAAAATAAAGAAATTTCAACCTGTTGAATGCAGCCGCAGGTACCGCTTGTCATGTGACAAGAAACAACCAATTGCAGCCGAGAGATATCTTTACTTCCGTAAACACAAGTGTACGGCAAAATGGTGGAGGTTAATTTAAATTGATTTCAGTGCGGGTCTATCTTTACCCCGACGTTAAGATCGGTCCAGTGTGTCACCCATTGCCATGTTCTGAGCCCTGCACCGCTGCTAAAATGTCTCACGATGTCAGACGCTGTCGGGTCTCAAGTGCCGGTGTCCGGAACACACTTAGCCTACAGCACACACAAACACACACACAAACAAACAAACACACCGAGTAGAGCAAAGCAGAGATAGAAACACCGTTTTCCATGGAAAACACTGCTGTCCCACGAAAACTATTTAAATACAACTTTAAAGAACAACTCCCTGAATATGTTCAGACGGTTGCTTAGCAACATTAAGCGCGAACTGCCTCAGCGCCCATGAGAAGTAGCTGCACAAGACCTCGCGTTTACGATGCGGTACAAACCGCTCTTGTGAAGGGCCCCTTGGCTTTAAACTATACATTTTAAATCTTGCAGAGACCCAGTGTTACTTTGTAGAGATCTACAGGGGAAATGGAGAGCTTGGCACCTGACGAAAACAATTTGCACAAGACAGGCCCCGTTTCAGCCTATCATCATTACGTCCTGTCATCCATCCTTCCCGATGCTCAACAGGAATTCCTCTGCATGCAGATGAAAAACAAAGCTTTGGAAAAGGAGAACGAGATCCTCAAGACGAAGGTTGAGTCTTTGATGACTGATTGTGAGCAGTTTAAAGCAGAGCGGCAAAGAATCCACGATGTGATCAAAAACAGAGACCACCAGAGGAACCAGCTGTTGCACTGCAAAAATGAACTGTCTGCTTTGGGTAAGAAGATGGCCTTCCAGCAAACTGAACTGAAGAGAGAGCATAAACAAAATGAAACTGTCAAAGAAGAGCTGGAGTCAGTTAAAAAAGAGCTCCAGTCAGTGAAGCAGGGGACTTTCACCAAGAGGACAGAGCAGCAACACCTGAAGCAACAGCTGGACCAGGTGGTCAAAGAGAGAGACATTCTGAATGACACTTTGCTGCGCTGCAAACTCGAATGCTCAGAGTTGCGTGAAAAGATTTTCTACCAGCAATCGAGCGCGAACAAGAAGGACCGTCAGTGCAAAAAGCAGATGAAGGAAATCCACTTCCTCAATCTAGAGAAGCAGACACTCGAGAAGGAGAGGTGCATCACTGAAAGCAATGCAGAGGAACAGAAGCAGGAGCTCCGAAAGTGTGAGGAAGATCTCCAGACACAGAAGGAGAAATTCAAAGAGAGCAAAAAAATGCAGGAAAAGGGGAAAAAAATAGCCATAATACAAGAAAGTCCACGTAAAATAAAAAAACCAAGACAAAAGGTGCCTCACCCGAAGGTTCAGTCTTTACAGAAAGAGCTGCTCGCCCAGGCGGAGGAGCTGAGGGCCACGCAGAAGCTCTGTGAGGAGCTGAAGAAAAAAGTGATCGAGGTAGCTGTGCAGTTCGAGCAGTGCCAGGCGTCGATCAGGGAACAGAAAGAGAAACTCAAGGCAGTAACAGCAGAGAGGAACATGTACAGAAGTCTGACTGAAACACTGGGGACTGAGTTAGTGAACATCAAGAAAGTGCAGCGCAGCGAAAAACAGCGGAATAAAGCGACCAAGAGGGCAAAGAAAGTCAAGGTGCCATCAGAGGAAAAGTCAAAGGGGTCCCGTCTCCCACCAACATCCAGTAAAGTCCAGATGCATTCCGATTTAAGGATTATGGGGAAACAACTTTAGAGTTTTTCCTTCTCCTCTTCTGAATAAACTGACATAACGCCATTCTGATGTAGCCTAGTTCTGTTTGTCTGTGTGAGGTACATTTGACAATCCTGTTTTGAATTTATTTGTAAAAAAAATACAATATATGAACTAAATAAAAATGAGAAATGATAATTCCAATTAAACAAAGCTGTACATCTTCAACGTAATACTTTGCCTTTCATTAATTACTAATAACTTGTGTATTGTTTGAAGGAAAAGACAAATATACATTGTGATTTTGGGTTACACTGATGTGTTACATTGGTTATTAGTGGTCTCGTTTGATGATGGGGAAAAGCAAAATAAGTATGCTACAAAAGTGTTATGGTTGGAAAAAGTTTTTTCAGAGTTGTTTTGACAGCTGCTAATCCTTTCTTGCTTGTCATAGATTATACAGAATCTTAACTAACAGGTATCGTTCCTAAAGATTTACTGTATAATTTTGATTTCATGCAGGTGAGAACAAAAGCAAGTCAATATTCAACGTGGGAGAGATCACAAGACTGTTGAAGTTTCCAGGTGTGATGCGGACTTTTGTTGTGAAGATAATTGCAGGTTTACCATCAGGTGAGAGTTTCTGTGAGATTCCACAGAGAACACATGTGCTCTGTGTAAAGCACACACGTTTCTTCCCTCATACATCCTCTGTTCTCTGAAGTACTGCTCTTTTCTTTCCTCAGGGATTTTTCAAGTAATGTTCTCAATCATTGCAATGGAGTTCTTCAAGCTGAAACCCGAGCAGAACGGCTATCTGATGGCTTATTTTGGTATAACTTCAATGGTAAGTATCACGTCAAGTGAGTTTTTGCACTCATGATGCTATCTGTAAGACAAAGTCAATACATCCTGGGTGTTTGTTCAGGTTATTCAGGGAGGAGTGATCGGTCGGATGACTGCGAGATACTCTGAGGGCTCGCTGCTGCTTCTGTCCATAGGAATGTCTTCTTTGGTGGGACTTGCTCAGGTACACACACGCACAAATGCAAGGCTTATACTGTCATAGGCTGGGTGTATTTCAAAGACTAAAAAACGGCTTTGTTTCAGTTTGGTGAAACCAAATGATTCAATCTGTATGTTTTTTCCTTGTTTATCATTTCCTAATATCTTCCTTCATTTTGTATTTCTTCTACAATCATCCAATAGTGGTTGAAATATTTCACTTCAAGCAACAAGTCTGAACCTGCCAGTACTGCTAGAGCAGATAACCAAACTCATTAGACTTTATCTTCTGGGGATATCTTCTTTACCTCCTTCACCTCTTGCTCAGAAATGTTTTTATTTTATTTTGACTTATCTATTTTTTTCTTTCTTCAGGCTTACATGCAGAATGTGTTCCAGTTCTGCCTTACCGTCATCCCGATGATGTTTGCTCTCAGTACATTTAACGTCATCACAGACAGCATGCTCACCAAGAGTGCACCGTCCTCTGACACAGGTGAGCTCATCCTGCATCCTTTCTGCACAACATTCATAAAACCATTAACAGCAGGCACTCTTTCCATGGCTCACATTTCACATAGGGACATTCTGTTCACTTGATTTGTAACCAGATCTGATTACTGAGGCTTTAAACAATTTAAGGGAATGAAGTGTCATTTTACAGAATTCTAATCTCTTATGCTTCAGTGTCATGTGTTAAAAGCTCAAACCAAAAGAACAGAAAATAATCTGAAGAGTACAGGCCCACTTTTTGTAATCCAGTTGTTATTAAACCTGCTTTGCTCTTGTCCTCAGGCACGATGCTGGGGCTGTGTGCATCCGTCCAATCTCTTCTTCGTACAGTGGGACCGACGGTTGGTGGCTTCCTGTATGTGAACTACGGAGTTTCCTCCATAGGCCTTATCCAGTTTGTCGTGAATATAGCTGTGTTTGTGTACCTGCTGCAGCGCCACTTCACAAAGACAGCCAAGCAAAAGGAATGACATATTTTAGGTTTTTTAAAAGCTTATTTTTCGTATCCAATTCATCCACCAACTGATAGAGGAGCTGGAAATTCAAGGTTAGAATTTTAGGGACAATCATCTCTACATGTGCATATATTCAATTAAATCTGTCGCCGGTGTTTACATGATGAGATAAGGTCAAGCCTTTCCACTCCTCCATTACTCAGATTTTGCTGCTGGTTAATCTTTGGTGGAGATGCAGGACTCAACCACTAGATGGCAGCAAGCCCTTAATTTTACCAGATGATGCTGTTGTGTTCCATCATTCACATTAGGTCAAATCACTTTTAAACACACTTTGAAATCCGTTACAGATTTTATCAAAAGTAATCAAAAATGATTAAATATTAGACATATCAACTAACTCCTAATAGAACACAGTTATATCAGATTTTTTTTAAATGAAAGTTTATTTTCTTATTGGTCATTATTGGTTAATAAATATTAAAAATATATAAATATATTTTTGTACATTTCTTTATTAAAAAGCATAAATGCATTATAACAGAATTTTGCAATTCACTTCATCTTAATAACTGCTGTTTTAACTCACTTGACAGTTTAAGTGTCTCATGATGGTCCAAATACTTTTTTGCGTGAATAAACATTTGGCAGAAACATTTATCTGTAATTTGAATAGTCCTATACATAATATAATGTATATTGTCAAAACATTTCAGCCTTTTCAGCATAGTGACAACAGACCGGCCATTAAAAAGCCCCGGCAACTTTTACCCTTCTATTAATACCATGGAATTAGACTGGATTTATTTCATGGTTTTCATATATATATATATATATATATATGGGGGATCTTGACAGACAATCAGTATCTCGTCAGCGAGTTGTTAGCTTAGTTAGTTTCACCAAAAGAGATTCCCCTTTAAACTTCTCAGGTAGTTTCATTTGAATAACTGCCTGAGGACCAAAGAGGTAAAACAAACCAGTATTCACAAAGGAATCCTAAAAAATGAAAAAGGTATTGTCCATTTGATCTTTTTTTGTTCTTCTTTCCTCTTTAATTAATCACCATATGTCTATTTTAGGATCCTTATGACGGGAAACACTGAACTACCTAACTGTTAATAAAGTACAATAGATTAATTACCCTATTTAAGTTATAATGCATATAATCAAATAATGTAAACTATATTCATTTATCAGTTACAGTAGGCATTTATCTCAAGAATAAGTACTTAAATATTATTTTAAACAGGAATTTTACTTGTAATCTAGTACTTTTTGTATTGGTACTGTTACTTAAAAAAAGGATAGAAATACTCACAACACAATGCTAATACTTATGAACAGATATTAAACTGAACAAAAATATAAATGCAACACTTTTGTTTTTGCTCCCATTTTTCATGAGATGAACTCAAAGATCTAAAACATTTTCTATATACACAAAATAACTATTTCTCTCAAATATTGTTCACAAATCTGAAACAAATCTGTGATAGCGAGCACTTCTCCTTTGCCGAGATAATCCATCCCACCTCACAGGTGTGGCATATCAAGATGCTGATTAGACAGCATTATTATTGCACAGGTGTGCCTTAGGCTGGCCACAATAAAAGGCCACTCTGAAACGTGCAGTTTTGCTTTATTGGGGGGGGTCTGGGGGGGGTCCGAAAACCAGTCAGTATCTGGTGTGAGGGGTAGGGTTAGGGTAATGTTGTGAATCGAGTGGCCCGGTGGTGGTGGGGTTATGGTATGGGCAGGCGTATGTTATGGACAACGAACACAGGCCACTCGATTCACAACATTACCCTAACCCTAAGTACCCTTAAGGTACCTAAAAACCCAGCTTTCATCTCATCACTGACAGAGTATAAAGCAACAATTGTTGGACCCAGGCCCGGACTGGCCATCGGGAGGACCGGGAGGTTTCCCGATGGCCTGACCTGCTAAGTGGCCTGCTGGCCTGGGGATTCTTTTTTTTATGTATGTATTCTGAACGCAACGCTATGCAAATGTAGGTCTGACTCTGCCTCACAGAGGGTCACTGGCTGTCTACATGATGTGGCCTGCTGATATGGCCACTTTCATACAGATTATACACTAATGCCCTCGATTGGTCTCTGTGTGTCACTCAAGCTCGGGAGGGTGTGTGTTCGTGTATGTGTGGCACGAGCGAGCGAGAAAGCGTGCGCACCCGGTTACGTGTATTGTTGTTGTTAGCATCTGGTGCTAGCTAGCTGCGCTAAACGGATATAAGGAGCTTTTTTCAACAACAAGGTGGAGGAGAGTCCTCTCCTGTCAGACTGAGAGGCTGATAACTACAGCTCAGGTGAGGTTAAGGACTCTGAGTGTTTAGATCAGCGGTGTCAAACTCAATTTCATCGCGGGCCACATTAACATTATGGTTGCACTCAAAGGGCCGGTTGTAACTATATAAATATACATATATAAATATATGACTTCCGTTGTCGTAACTCTTCTATCTATATGCGCTGGATGTGGCGACGTAAAACTGACACAAAACAACAACAAACTTTTGCCGAGCCAATTGGAGAGTTTCATCAGCAGCACGGGGTAAAAACCACCAATGAGCGCTCAGCTCGAGTTACCAGCGAGTCGTTTCCCATCAAGCATTTCGCTTCCGCAGCCCGTGGAGAGCTCCATGGTGGAGAGGAACTGCGCCGCCTCGCCGCGCCTCGCTCTCAAGGCTACGGGCGTCTTTGTCCCGCGAGATTTCAACGTCTCATGTAGGCGAGCCTCCAGAGCAAGTCGGACAAAATGACTAACCATCATGCAACGCACTAGCAAGACGTTGATCGCAACTGCGCAGGTCTCGCTTGTCTCAAACAAGCCTAGTCTCTTCAGTGCGCATGTCACAAAACGAGATGCATTGTGGGACATGTAGTTTATGGGCAACCTGCTTCTGTAAAGTGGCATGTAACCGTATAATAAACATATTATATTCTTTGCAAGCTCTTGCGGGCCACATGAAATGAAGTCGCGGGCCAGATTTGGCCCCCGGGCCTTGAGTTTGACACCCCTAGTAGATAGTTAACTTAGTCTAAGTTATCTCTGTGAGTGTCAAACGGTTTGGTCACCCTTTATGTAAACACATTTTCCATTTGAGGGGGGAGTGAGATTAGTGAAATATGCATGAATAATAATGAAAAAACGTTAACTAGGTGAAAAAAACTTTTTTTTAAAAACTTGTTGAGAGCTTAAACTAGTCTTTGCTGCTGCCTCAAAGAGGAGCAGGGGGGAGACAGGTGAGGCTGGTTCAGGAGCCCAGACACACTCACAACTATAAATGAACCAAAAACAAATAAATAAACAAGTTTCAATGTTTTTCATATTGGATATGGTATGTTATTGGTTATGGCCATGTTCTTATGATTTTATGATTATTTAAATGTATAGGCAGGGCTCGCCATTGGCAACCATTCAGAAAAAATGTCAACTGCTTCTTGGCCTTTAGTTGCCATCAGTGGCAGTTTTTAACATAAAGAAATAAGGACAGCAAACAGCTAAATGAGCACCCCAAAATAGATAAATGTTAAATATTTGTTGTATTAAGAGTGATATTTAATTATTGTTGTGACCAATTGGAACCTGATACTTAAGTTGCACGTGCATTGGTGTGATTACGGAGCCAGAAAGCGGTGCGCGGTGTGCCGTGTGTTTGTTTTACAAAAAATGGCGACGTAAATTAAGTTGTTTGACTGTGGGGCAAAAAGTTCGGCCAACCCGTCAACATCTCAAACGAATGTTCAAAGTGATTCAACTGATAAAGCGCAAGGTGAACTCGAACGAAAAGCAAAGAGGAAATGTGTAAAGTCTTGGGAGGCGAAATATATATGTACATTCTGCTCCGGTAAAAGTTCCTTCAAAATAACAGTCCCGATCTTATTACTACCAAAATAAAAGTGCAAAACGAAACTTTACCATAGGAAAATATTGGCATACAAATATAATCACTTCTATAAAAAGGTAACACATTTTAAATATAGTTAGACATATAAAAGATAATTTACTGCATTAATAATTAATATCTAATTCTTAACTGTGAATGGTTTTAATGTATTTAACATTATAAATGTATTAGTATGGCCAATCCAAGACTTCAATGCTGAAGGGCCCACGGCTCTATGGTGGGGGTCAGCACAAAGGTCAAGGAAACCCACATTTGAAAGGGAGACAACGGATGACCAAGAAACTAGTGACTTGCTCAATTCATTTGTGAGGGATCTGTGAAGAACATGACAACAGCTGCACTACTGGTATTTAGTATACCAGCAATTGAGGGTGGACACATTTACTACCACTTACGTTTCAAATAATTGTGTTAATTACTTATTGTAAAGCATTTGAACATTCTTTTGTGTCACATTTTCATTATTAAGGTGATGTATAATTGTATAGTATCTTAATTATTTAAAATATAAGGTAACTAAAAATGGCAACCATATTTTCAGTTTTGGCAACAAAAAGCTGATGCCTGGTTGCCAGCCTGGCAACCACTTTTAAAAGATAGGGTTGAGCCCAGAGAACACTATTATTATCTTTGTATTAATATGGTTTTATTATTATCCTAAAGTAAGTTAATGTAGATGACTTAAAAGTATAATTGCCTGTATTAAAAAAAACGTCACAAAAGAAACAAACAGGTGCTTGTTACTCTGTTTGACAGAATGAGCACCCCTCCCTTCATTCATTGCATGGTATGGGGCGCCTGAGCAATGGAGCAAGCGGAGCAGGTGCATCCCCACAATTGACCTTGGGGGAGCAAACGTGTGCTTTTGCACCCCCACTTTTTGATCATATGAAAAATATGATATGTCCCCCCCAATATATCACCGTAAACACAAGTATGTAATTTCAATCGAATTAATAATACGCAATGAAAGAACTTGTGCTGATTATAGACACTTAATAGCGAGTTTTTAAGTTTCCAAAGATTGTGACCCCCCCCGCATTTCGCTCACAATGGTTTGATCAACTGCCTCCCACCCACAGCAGTCCTGATGCAGGTAGGCTGAGTGTAAATCACCGCGACCAGTCTGTCATTGGTGGCAGACCTTTTCAGTAAGTTGTTCAAACAAAGAATATGTTAGACATGTCTTTACTTCTACCACTCAATACAATAAAACACATTTATAATCATCACCTTCTCTTCATTTTCGCTGCATTGAATTACAGGTCACTCTAGGGCTGTGCGATTATGGCAAAAATCATAATCACGATTATTTGGTCAATAATTGATATCACGATTATTTTGACGATTATTCATTGACCATTTATTGAACTTTAAAACAAATAATATTTTACCAATAAACAAGATCAATAAATGTGTTGGAGCGCACTTCCAAAACCATACTAAACATATATTATTAATATGATACATACAAATAAATTAGACCAAAATAAATTAAATCAAATATGATGCAGTGCACTGTCACAACCTACTGAAAACTCCTTAACATATAGCCAACATTTTGGTAA